CTGTGGAGTGAAAGCCAGGGGTAGAGGGCCACGACAGGCGAGGCACAGACTAGACCATTCCAGTGGGGTGGATCTGATGGTGCACTTTCGTGGTTTAGGAAAGTGTGTCCTCTGTGTACCTGTGCAATGGTATAGGGCCTGGGATGTCCCCTGCCCAGCCATATTGTGTAACTTCTCCTGATAGGTAGCACTCAGCATACCCAGAGCTAGAGACTCTAATGGCTACTTGAGGGCTTTTGATCCCTTCTCCTCCTCAGCTGTGGTCCCCTGGGCCCTGCTCCCTATCAGCGGAAGTGGAAGGTGGTGAGGACAGATGTCCCAGGGTGTGTGGTGAACAAGAAGTCCTGTTGAGTGGGCTCTGCCCACCCCCTCTGTCTCCGCTTCTAGCCCAGCCTGCCGCCATGGCTTTAGATGTGGAAGACATCATGTTATTTCTTGTGACCCTCTACTTGAAGTACTCTGGCCGGGAAGGTGACCCAGAAACCCTAACAAAGCAGGAGCTGAGGGACCTGATCCTCACAGAGCTTCCATTTGGTAAGGTGAGTAGATTGCTCCCAGCCCTACTCCCCCGACACACTTGTTCATTCACTGCCTCATGCATGTATTGCTTGGAGGGGCTGAGGTGGTCTCAGCCAGGTGTTCACTCCATCTGAGCAAGGAGCAGGAGCAGTGAAGAAGTAAAGCCAAGGTGAAGACAAGGGGGACAAGCACCTTTGGTGACAATGAATAGAGTGGCTTGAATGAGAGAAAGCAGCTAGCTGGGAGGGAGGAAGCAGAGAACCTAGGTTGCCCATCATCACTGAGTATGCTCTTCTCATTTTCACCCTTTAGAAGCTGCACCCTGCTGAGTTAGAGTCATTCTTTGAAGAACTGGACTTAAACAAAGATAATGAAGTGAATTTCGTGGAGTTCAGCACTTTCTTGGGGAGCTTGGTTAGGCTCTACCAAGATGAACCCAGGAAGGACTTATGAATTGGAAAATCCCCTTCTGGGGGTCCTGAGACAAATCCAGCTGTAATTGTACAATAAATGTTTCTGGTCAAATCAATTGTGTGTTGGATTCACAGTGATTTCTGATTCCTCCATGGTCTGATGCCAGCCATCAGAAAGACTCCTTCACAGTTTACTTCTGATGGTCACTCATTGCTGCTTCAGGGTTAGGGACCCAATTTTAATATCACAGGAGCCACCTCTGCATTAGAAAAGGTGGCCCTTTGGGCAAAACCATCATGAGGAAAGGTTCATATGTTGTTGAGTGGAGAGTGTCTGGGCTCAGCCTGGAGAAGGAATGATGCCTGGGCTGCGTTGTTGTGGGGTATGAGGTCCAGAGAAGTGTGGCAGATCGTCCTGGTGGGCTCCTGGAAGATCAATTTGGCTCTGCGTGTGGTGAGCAAGGATGCACTGCACAGTCCCTGAGTAAGTCAATACACTTTTTCATCAGAGCGGGGTGGGTAGAACAGGTATGTGTGAGATGTCCAGGGCTTGGCCCCAGGATCTTTTCTGAGATCACTGAGGACATTGGCTGGCTGAGTTAACAGAAGTTGCCCACATTTCTGTTGCTGGTGGGGAGGGACACTGTAGGAGACAGTCCCCACAATCAGGGATGGCATACTTCATATTGTGGTGTGATGTGAGGAGGACTGCAGCATGAGTGGTGCACAAAAGGGGAATCCTGGCCGCCCTTGGCCAGCCCAAATTCTGAGTGTTCAAAGGTCACAGAAGAGGGTATCATTTAGGCTTTGAACAATGAACTCCGAAGTAAAGCTACTCAACTTTGTATTGGACAAACGTACTATAGGCAAGTCAAGAAGGTAAGCTGGTGTGCAAAGGCAAATAGAATCTGAGCCCTGGACACTTCCTAACCCTCTAGGGGCTAACAGTCCTTTGGGAAAGCCACTGCTTCCCGAAGGATGGTGATGTTTTTTCAGTGGACAGATGCTTAGGATAGCAAGAAGAGCTGCTCCAGCAATGCCATGAGCTCTGCACTTCTACGGTGGGTGGGAGGGTTGGGGTGAGGATGGTAAATGTGCAGTCCACCTGCTGTGTGAACAGGCATACACTTAGTTCCTGCTTCTCCACAGGTACAGAGGAGGCAAAGGACAATGCAGATTTAAGGAATAAAAGAAAACCCCCTGAATATAGCAAGGCTTTGTTTTATAGAAGATATAGTTTTTAAGAGTTTTCTTTAATGTGGAGGAGGGGAGGGAAGCAGGATTTACCTTGCAATCCAGTGGCTGCAGCAGCACAGGGGTCGCCTCAGGAGTGTTCAGCAGCACAGACTGGTTATGTTTATTGCTCCAACAGGTTTCCTTTCAGAATTGATCCCTCTGAGCTTGCTGATGAGCTTGATCCAGGCTCACAGTACAGTAGACGTTCAGATGGAGCTGGGACCTTCCCACTGTGTGCCTTCATTGGTGATGACCCAGGAGCTCACATTCCTTTCCCTTTGTTTGAGTGTGCCCCTTCCCCACTGCATTACTGATGTCAATCCATTCATGTAAATACTCCTAATCCTGGGAGCAGAAAGAGCAGCACCACAGTCTATTTTGGAAGTGAGCCTGGGGTCCAGGTAGGGAGGAGTTTAAGACTGAATCAGAGCATTTAACTGTCTGTGCTCCACAAAGCTTACTTGATAATGTCCAGAGTAACCCCCCCATGTTCCACCAGACTACTGCAAAATACTCTTTGTAGAGGTGCTGTTGTACCCATTGTCCCATCTTCAGAGGCTTTATGCATACTGGATAGTATTAATCCTATGCAACAAGAGCAAGGTTTGTGTAGATACAGAAGTCTGTGCCCCTACTCAGCTGGAATTGGCAGATAAAAATGTTTTCCATGGCTTCTGACCCCAGGCCAGGACCTAGGTGCTTATCTCAGGCTGGAGTGCCAGCCTCATGATTTACTTTGGCCATTTCTTCTTCATCAGTTCCTTTGAAATGTTGTAATTGAGTATTGGAATATATTAAAACAACTTATAGACTACATCTAAGGTGTTTTTTTTTAATGCTTAAGAAAGATTTACTAGTGCAAGATGTAAGACACTCAAGGGAGCTGGCAGGTGCTCAAAGAAATGAGGCACAAAGCAGTTGACAACTGGGGACCTTCACTCTGTTTTAGCAGGTGGAAACCTGTGGAATTCTATAATCTCTCATCCTTGTGGCAGTGTCTGTAAGACATATTAATAACACAAAACTGCTCATTTTAACCCAGGTTAGAAATGAATATTACCATTGCCTTTAATTCCCTGACTTGTGTTTCCCTTCTCATTTCCTTCCCTTACAATGGATCAGTATTTGGTCATTACTGTTTCATTGCCTTTATTTCCCTAATAACTTTTACCAATGTACATTCATGTCTAATAAATGTGGATTTGCATCCATATAGTTTTTGTAATCCACCTTAATGATTGGAATTAGCTCTAGTTTAATAGTTTGTTACATAGTAGGGCATGTTATGAGTACAACATAATTTATCTTGCCTGTTGCTAATTTCAGTTTTTGATTGCGTTCAATTTTCCTATTTTAGTTGTTTAAGCTACTTTATTTATAAAATTTAGAAATTGAGAAAACAACAATGAAGACAAAATCAAAAGAATAACATCAAAAATGATACATGAACTCAAAAGAAAATGACAGAAATTTACAATGGTTGCTATAATTACATAGTGTTGCCTTCATTGAAGTTGCTCAGTCCCCTAGACATAAGAGTGTAAGATTCCCAATCACTAGGTGCCATGCTGCTTCCATCTAGAACATAGAAAGAATTAAAAAACTTGAGCCCCTCCCAAATTCAAAGATCAAATGCAAAAATCAAAAATGGGCAGCTGAGATGAATACACTTTTCTCAGATTATAGAAATCCAAATGGCAAATAAATACATGAGAAAGTGTTCAACATCATTAGTCATTCAAGAAATGCAAATTAAAGCAACACTGAAATTTCATCTCACCCTCGCAAGAATGGCTAGCATTAAGAAATCAACCAATAACAAATGTTGGTGAGGCTGTGAAGAAATTGGAACTCTTCTCCACTGCTGGTGGGAATGCAGACTGGTTAAACCACTGTGGAAATCAGTTTGGACATTCCTCAGCAAACTAGGTCTAGAGGTCCCATTCAATTAGATATTCACCTTCTGTGTATTTGCCAAGAAGTTCTAAAAACATAATATCACAGTGACATATGTATACCCACGTTCATAGCAGCACAATTTGTAATTGCTCAATTGTGGAAGCAACCCAAATGTCCATCTACTAAGGAATGGATAAAAAAAAGGTAGTACTTTTATACAATGGAATATTACTCAGGTGTAAAGAGAGATAAACTTGAGTCTTTTATGGGTAAATGGTCACAATTAGAGAACATAGTCCAGGTGAAATAAATTAGGCCTCCATGTTTAAGCAATGTATTGTTCACTAGTGTAAGAATCAGAAAGAGTAAATAAAAATTAGGAGATGTGATAGACATTGTGAAATGAAAAGAAAATGCTCAAAAAAAGAGCAACTGGGGTGAGGGAGAAGAGAAAAGAAAGAAGGGAAAACTATGTATGTGTGTATGTACAGGATAGCTAACATAGATGTCCTCCTGACTTTTATCTCTTTACTGGAAGGAACAGTTAATGATTACTTATTCGATCAATCCTGCATGTCTCTATTTGTTTTCCTGAGAAACCACTTTGAAGATATCAATAAGTAATAGAACAAGCATTGTTAATTTCCTACCACTTTGTCTGTAACTCTGTATCGTTTCTATCATTCTTATGCTACTTTATAAATGGATGTCCATTTGTTAATATGTTTTCCTTCTTTTATTTTTAAAATACATTAAAAGAAGAATGACCAATCAAAGATAGTAACAATTAAAAAATAAATTAAAAAAATAAAATATTAGAAATGATGCAGAGCTTCACCGTACAAGATGGTAGGATTTCAGCAATGGTTCTTATACTGCACATTGTTTTCAGATCAGTCCTTCTGATAACCAAGTTCAAGTGTGCAAAACTGGTCAACAAAGGAGAAAATTTTAAGCGTTGACTGTTCCTCATAGTAAACTATACTCACCAGCAAAACACTTATACCAGCTATCCTTACATATACATATAAATTTTGTTTCTCATTTGAAAAAATAAAATAACAATAACAAACACATAAACAAAACAGCACAGAGAGTAATACAATGATACAGAATTCAAAACATGGTGATAGTACATTAACAATGGTTGTTATATTACATAATGTCATCTTCAAAATGGTTGAACATGTAACCAGGTATAGGCTTGCAAGATTAATCAAACAATTACATATTAACTGTTCCTTTTGATCAACCAACAGATATTAGTAGTATAATTATTCTAGCTCTCCTGTGTATACATATACATATTTTTCACTCTTCCTTCTTTCTTTTTCCTCTACCCTCCTTCATGCCAGTTGCTCCTACCAATTTGAGCAGTTTCTTTTCCCTTTCACAATACTTATTGTAGTTTTCAGAATTTATTTACTCTTTCAGGCTCTTCTAGTAGGGTGGAAATATGATGTTTACACATATGAATGTGATTTATTTCATTAATAGTATGGTCTCTAGTTGCATCCATTTACCAATGACAGCCTCTAGATTACCCTTCTTTATAGCTGAGCCATACACCATTGTAAAAAT